TCCAAAAAATGACGCTGCAGCGCCGGACCAATGGCCGAAACTCCAATTCTCATAGTGTTTTCGCAGAACGCTGCAAACTTTGGCGCTTCAGATTCACCAGGTGGGGGGCGGGGATTCACAAGCTGCGCGGCAAACGCGACAATGAATCCTCCGCTGGCTTGACTCAATATCTGTAATCGCCATGTCTGCCGGATAGGAGCGAATGGAGCTCTGGAAGAAGAAAGATCCTCTCTCGTGCTCAGTTTCCCCTCATCGCCGTCCCACTCGAAGGGGCCCCGGGAGGTTGGTTTGCAGTTGAGGTCAATCTTGTCGCATTGCACCAGGAGGGACGAGCATGCGACGTGGGGCAAAGTAACCTGTAAAGTACATCATGTAGCACTAAAACACCCCGCAATCCTGCGGTATCTGCCCCGTACTTTTGCCAACGTTTTATTTTTTTTTCGTAGCTGCCCCTCCCCCTCCTTGATCGGAAGCTGATTTTGCGCGCCTACCTCTCACACCCACAACGCATCATCGCGCAAGGGCAAATTTTTTGCTTTTCCAATCTTGCCGTTCCCCTACTCCTCTTCGTTTCCCAATTATCCTTTACTTTCATCCTTCATTCCCCGACACCAAGCCATTCCGTCGAGTTTTGAAGGCACCGAAGCAAAGATGTCGGGTCAGAAGATTGCCATCCTCTCTGTCTATGACAAGACGGGTCTGCTGGATCTGGCCAAGGGCCTCAACCAGCAGAATGTCCGTATCCTTGCCTCTGGCGGTACTGCCAAGATGATCCGGGAGTCTGGTTTCCCCGTTGAGTAAGTCTACCAATAAGCCATCATTACCTGGGCTTCCGTGACTTGAACATGACTGATTGGGCTGCTCCTCGTACAGGGACGTTTCCGCCATCACCAAGGCCCCTGAGATGCTAGGCGGTCGTGTCAAGACTCTTCACCCCTCCGTTCACGCCGGCATACTTGCGAGAAACCTCGAGTCCGACGAGAAGGACCTGGCCGACCAGAACATCAACAAGGTCGACTATGTCATTTGCAACCTGTACCCCTTCAAGGACACCGTTGCCAAGGTCAATGTCACCGTCCCCGAGGCTGTCGAGGAGATTGACATTGGTGGCGTCACCCTCCTCAGAGCTGCTGCCAAGAACCACAGCCGTGTTACCATCCTCAGCGACCCCAAGGACTACGCTGAGTTCCTCAAGGAGCTTGAGACCGGCGAGATCACCGAGGAGAGCCGCAAGCGCTATGCCCTGAAGGCCTTTGAGCACACTGCCGACTATGACACCGCCATCTCCGAGTTCTTCCGTAAGCAGTATGCTGCCGACGGCAAGCAGTACATGGCTCTCAGATACGGCGCCAACCCCCACCAGAAGCCCGCGGCTGCCTTCGTGCCTTCTGGCGAATTGCCCTACAAGGTTCTCGGAGGCTCCCCCGGTTACATCAACCTCCTGGACGCCCTCAACAGCTGGCCTCTGGTCAAGGAGCTCAAGCAAGCTCTGGGCAAGCCCGCTGCTGCAAGCTTCAAGCACGTCTCCCCTGCCGGTGCCGCCATTGGCACTCCTTTGACCGAGGACGAGCGCAAGGTCTACTTTGTCAACGACATTGAGGGTATTGAATCTTCTCCCCTGGCTCAGGCCTACGCTCGTGCCCGTGGTGCCGACCGCATGAGCAGTTTCGGTGATGTGATTGCTCTCAGTGACGTTGTCGATGTTCCCACTGCCAGCATCATCTCCAAGGAGGTGTCTGACGGTGTCATTGCTCCCGGTTTCGAGCCTGCCGCCCTTGAGATCCTCAAGAAGAAGAAGGGCGGAAAGTACCTGGTTCTGCAGATCGACCCCGACTACGTCCCCTCCAAGACGGAGACTAGGACCGTGTACGGCGTTACTCTGCAGCAGCACCGTAACGATATTGAGATTTCCCCGAAGTCTTTCAACAGAATCATCACGCCCAAGGACTCTGCCCCTCTGTCCGAATCCGCCCTGCGTGACTTGACTGTGGCTACTATTGCCCTGAAGTACACTCAGAGTAACTCTGTGTGCTACGCCTACAACGGACAGGTCATCGGCCTGGGCGCCGGACAGCAGTCCAGAATCCACTGCACTCGTCTCGCTGGCGACAAGGCAGACAACTGGTGGCTCCGCTTCCACCCCCGCGTGCTAGGCATCAAGTGGAAGAAGGGCACCAAGCGCCCCGACAAGAGCAACGCCATTGACCTGCTGGTCAGCGGCGAGCTCCCCAAGTCTGGCGCGGAGCGCGACATGTTCGAGGCGGTCTTCGAGGAGGTTCCTCCCGCCTTCACTGAGGCCGAGAAGGAGGAGTGGCTTGGCAAGCTGACCAACGTCGCCGTGTCAAGTGATGCGTTCGTAAGTTTCAGATGCTCCGATAATGCAAGCCACCTGCTGATCAAGTCTAGTTCCCCTTCGTCGACAATGTTTTCCGCGCATCTCGATCCGGTGTCAAGTATATCGCCGCCCCTGGCGGCAGCCAGAACGATGGAGCCGTGTTTGACACTGCGGAGAAGCTTGGCATCACTTTCGTCGAGCAGAACATCCGCCTCTTCCATCATTAAGATTTCGTGTTTTGACAAAAGCTATGGTGTTATGGGGAACCATTGGGAATGATTGGATCGGCTGGGATCCGGGAAAAATTGAGACTTAGGAGGCGTCCATTCAACTCCGAGAAATACCGGCCTCGGGCTGTGGAGCTCTCAACGATGATATGCATCACAGATTCAGAGCAGCAGCTGTAGCCGTGTGAGTGGGGAGGGGCGCCGGGGAGATACGCCACGTCGGAAGAGCACTGATATTCAACATATATCCGGAGTACTTGGGATTGACTTATTTAGGCAGATAGCGGAACATGCGGTGTGGCTTTTGCTACTTTTATGACCTCAAAGTCACTACGGAGGAAGTTCACTTCCGGTAAGCATTGTTTATCATATAACACTGGCGAACAGTACTCTTTCGCAAAACAAGATTTCACCACAAAAGCTCTACTCCCTTGGGCTAATGGCGTACACCCGCGCGCGATTTTGATTGACTGGACGTATCTCTATCGGATATGTCTGGCGGGAGTTTCTTAAAGCCACATGCAACGATATTTTCTGGTTGGGATGAGGAAGCCTTTTGCGTACTGAGAGTTTCTTCCGGCAGTCGGTGTTAGGCATGGCAGCAATGTGGTAATTAAGCTTTTGAAATTATAAGGCAACTAACTGGGCATCTGACCAGTCCGTTATGACTCACACGGATTCAACTCTGCGAGATCCACCCAGAGATTCGTTTAGTCGAATACGAATATGTTGAAATCGAAAATGCGGAAACATCATGTTCCTGAAAGCATGCATATGCGGTCATCGCGTGATTTGCGCAGCACTGGAGCAGAGGTGGTCTACTTATACTTTGTGGCGTGAACAGTTTGGAACTCAAGTGAAGGGCATGCAGCTGGTGGCTGGCTGCTCGCCTTGTTTTCTCATCCCATTGTTCTTGTGCCTGCGTTTAGATCAGGGAATTGGGTTTGGCAGTAGCCCCAAAGTTCCTATTCGCATGAGATTCATCATGGAGGCAACAAGGCAACCAGCTAGCTGGCCCTAACTCGGAGTTGAACGCCTCAACCGCCGCGGGAGATGTTCGAATGAAGATGAGATGTACAGATTGTGTTTAGGTCCCGTACACAGTGCTCCCTCCCATCTCAGCGAGGAGGCGCACAGGCGCAGGCGAAGACATGCGCACCATAGACGCAGGGTTGCGGTCATTGCTGCTTACATACGCGCAGAGCTGAACGCCCGAGCCAATCAGAGACCTCTTATCTGCTAAGAAAGGGACTGTAGTGGGTCCCAGCGCCAACCACAGGCGACTGATTACCTTCTTGAGATACGTATCCGAACCACTTGCTGAATCCCCCCTGTGACCCGTGTTCTCCACACACGCCCCCACGTTGTCAGCTTGTCAGCCTCTCAGAGGTCCAGCATTCCTGCTCGTGAGAGGCTTGCTTCGGTTCACACATCACGACGGCGGATGATGGCTTGACCAGCGGCGGCGCTCACTGAGCTCTGCCTAGAAAGAGGAAACCTTACGTCTTGTCTTGTCTGCGAGCACCGATAACGTTGTTGTTGGCAGCGCTCAAATTACATTATTTAAGACGGCAGGAACCCTGTGGTCAAGGGGGTTGGTGTGGCCGTCGACAATCAATCCAGAAAAAAACACACACAAGAGAAAGAGAGAGAGAGAGAGACCAAAACCTCGGAGCGCAAGCGCAATATTGCCTCGACTCCTTCAGACCCGAAGGTAAGTACTCATCGTCACAAGTGATCTTTTAGCATGGGTTTTTGACAGAAGCGACAGGGATTCCAGTGTTACGCTGCCCCTCCGTCGCCATACTGAAAGACCGCATTTTCGCGCCGGTGGCCATCAAGGTTCTCAAAGCGCACCGCACCTGGGCATCGTGCCTACTCCAGCAGTGAACACCGCCTTCCCACACCACGCGCAGCAAAAGGACTCCAGTCGCAGGAGCTGCCAGGGTGACGACGAACCACCGGCTCATTTCCCCTCAGTTCGATTCACCTTCCAATTTTTCTTGCCTCCGTCCTTGCCCAGAGCCCCAAACCCAAGCTTAAGCTCAAGCAAGCCATAGCACGAGCTGGCTTGTCAACGGCTGGACCTCCCTCCCTCTTCTTCAAGGTTGTCCCGCTAGGTTCTTTTTCCTCCCAACCCCAAGGGTGCTCCAGCCATACAAAGTCGGCGCCATTCCGTCTGCATCCCAAATTTCCTCCCAAACATAACTGGATCTTTTCCCACCAACCCCCAGACACTACGGCTACACCATCTGCTCTTCATACTTTATCCAGGGTCTTACCGTTGCGGCTCTGCGACCTTCCGAATCATTTCCACCTCGACAGTCTTCTCCTGCCAGCCCTCCTCGTGGCCGAAGTTACCTTGCCCATTGACGATCAACGTGGGGTGACCCAAGCGCGGAAACAACTTCGAAATCAACGTCACATCTCTCTCCATCATGGACGGCCTGGGCAACCATGGCATCCATGAGCATCTTGGCCTCAGAGGAGAAACACAGGAATATTTCCAACTGCAAATGGAGCAACATCAGCACGCCCAGCACTTCCAGGGCCACGCACACAACCACCTTCATGGTCTGGTGAATGATACTTTCCTACCCTCCTACCACGACGACACCTGTTTAGACTTGGCCCCAGGACATACACATACCCACGGTCCCACCAAGAGTCATCAACAAACGATGAATCAAGCCCATCACGGTCGCAGCATGAGCATGGCTGCTATATCAACCAACAATCTCTCTACTCCTCACACACCAGACATTAACGTTTTCGGCCCCTTCGTCTCCAACTTTCCCATGGGCCTGATGTCGGAAAGCAATATGACCTACGATCATCACAATGCAATGTCTGTGGATTGGACGTCGGCCTATCACGAGCAGCAACAGCAGCAGTTGATGGGCTATCAAGAGGAGCAGCAGCAGCAGTCAAGCCCCGCGATGCCTAGCAACCATTCTGATTGCGACGAGTCCGATTCCTGCGCAATGCAATGTCCCGACAGCCGCTGCGAGCAGGGCGTTGCCTGCAACAACAAGGATTGCGCCGAGTCTCCTTGTCTCTCTAGTTTCTCTGATTGCGACGACCCTGAGTGCGAGGGAGACGTCTGTAGCGAACCAGACTGTTTAGCGCTGGACGGGCCTTCACTGAAGGCTGCAGAGTCTCTCATTTCGTTGCCATCGAGGCCGGCGCAGTCTTTGTCCCAGCCGCCTTCTCAGCCCTTCTCAGGCCAAGGCACTCCCCATGGACTGTCGGCTCATTTAACGATGCAGTCAGTGAACCTCGGCGGCCTTTCAGAGACACCCAACTACAATATGGCGCATGGGGACTTCTCCTGTTCATCATCTGCTAGGTACGATATTCCATCCGACGGTCTCCCTATGCCAAATCTCTATGCTTCTCAAGTCTACACGAACGGATCCATCGACTTGAACGACTTGAACGACTTGAACAACAACATGGAAAACTTGAACCAGTTTATCATCCATGCACTGGAACACCACGCCCCTGGCCACCATCCTGATCGTTGTCCGGGACCTTGCTACGACACGGTCAACGGCTTGGTATTTGAAAAGTGCCCCCTCCCAATGGATTCGCACTTCCACCCAGGACAAAGAGGTTTTTGCACAGATATCTCCACGCAAGGGGAATGCAACGCACCTTTGCATTCCGAACCTGGAGCTTTCTTGGATCATATCAGGGAGATGCATCCCATGACTATTGAACAACACATGATGGAAGGAGTCTCGCAACAAACAGTTTGGCCAAGCTCCCGGGGTACTTTCCCAACACAGAAATCGATCTCGAGGCGATCACCTCTTGACATGTCGTCGCCAACACTGTCGTCGGCTTCCGGGACACCCATGTCGGCGGGGACTCCAGTCACGCCTGACACAGACATTGGACAAGCTTGCACTTGCAAATGGAAAGTCAGTGATGACCAGATCTGTGGCCTTAGGCTTCCCAACGACGAAGCTCTCCAGAAACATTGCAAAGAAATGCACCTGAGCGTAATGGCCAAGCAGGCAAAGGGGTTCCCCTGTCTATGGAGCACATGCCCTCGCGATACTACGTTCAACCAGAAGTCCAAGCTGGAACGCCATATGCAAACGCATACAGGATGTAAGAGACCCTATCCCAGTCCCCTTCAGGGAAGATAACTGACTGTACCGCAGACAAACCTGTCAAGTGTGAAGTCTGTCAAGCTGCACTTTCCGCCAAACAGTCGCTGGCACAACACATGCGTATACACACAGGAGAGAAGCCGTGGAAGTGCGATTTCCCGGGCTGCAAGCAAAGTTTCAAACAGCAGAGTGCACTCAGTAAGTTCTTATCGAAGTCTCAACATGATCTAGCTGACCTTCGTAGCCATGCACAAAAGAACCCACACTGGCGAAAAGCCACTCTCTTGCGAAATCTGCGGAAAGAAGTTTGGCGAGTCCAGCAACTTGTCCAAGCATCGCAAGACTCACAACGTTAAAGGTCAGTTCACCTGTGAAGTCTGTGGCAAGGACTTCCATCGACTGGACCAGATGCGAAGACATATGAGGGTCCACGACAACAAGGACAAGGATACGCAACATGGAAACGGCAGCACGGGCCGCGTCATCAGCGGCCGCGTTGAGAAGAACACAAAATGATGTTGCATCTTCTAGGTAGTGGCGTTTTGGTATGCTTTCGGTCTGTTTTTTTTGGTGTTGGTATGAAATTGGGTCTCCTTCTCACTTGGGCACGGCTTACGAAAAAGATACCCTGGGTCATGAACTGGCGTTATCGGTATACCCGGGAATCGGTGTTTGGGTAGCCCCTTTTACAGGAGGGCAAATATCTCAAAGGATGTCTCGTGCCGGCTGAAGGATTAGTTGTTTTCAAGTTTTTCGCGGTGGTGCAGTAGTAGTAGCAGTAGTAGTAACAGTTTGCTCGCCAGAGCCAAAGACAAGTGAACAATTTTTCACTGCCACAAGTCTGACTACCCACTGATTTGCGTTCGTGGCTTGCATGGTGACTTTGAACCTGGCTCATCCGGGTCTCTGTGTTGGTACTTCATCTTTTGGGATACTGAGATCAACCGAGATGTGTTGGGATTGGATGATTGCCGTCACGGTCTTGGTCGGGACGCTGACCTCGAGGTCAGGGAGAGGGTCTGCGAACCATAGCCAGACAGCCAGACTGGCTGCTCTCGAGGCAGAGGATTCACAGACGACTGAGAATTCTATGAAAACTCAGTGTATCGAACGCCCCACAAGAGCCCGAGGGAGACCACATTGAGCCAAACCTGCCTGCAGCATGGCTGTAAGCCGGGGAAAGGCCCGACGCTTCCTTGGGAATAAGATCTGACATCGGTTCCTCATCGTACGATTCTTGACGAGGGAAAGAAGATCCGTTCGCCACTATTGAGAAGAGTGTTTGCGCTGCTTTGGGCTTGGGTCTCGTGTGAGGGCCTTCCTGCCGCGACTGCGGGTGCTGCAACTGCGAAGAAGGTCAGTCTACAGTGCGGCATACTTTCGCCCTCCTTGGGGGTGAGTCATTTGAGGCGTCGGGGGAAGAACTCGGGAAGTCTGCGTCGAAGTTGCTCACCAGCCGACGCTGTTGGTACCCCTGAACAGCTGGGTGATTACGCCGCGGGCGTTGCACTCCACTCTGTCAAGCACATTGCCTAAGGCTCTCGTGGAGTGGCACGAAGATCTGATCTCGGTGGATATTGACGAAAATGGTTTCCATGTGTATCATCATCGCCGTCGTTCACCGAGAGGCTGAAGTTTAAATGCCCCGCAATCTGGCCAATGCAGGATGGAGCAGCGGATCTGACCGAAGACGGGGGAGTGGCGGGACACCAAGAACCCGGGGCGAGTTTAGAACTCGTATAGACACGAAGTTCCGCCAGGGTGGGGTTTGTTGCTGTCTCATGACTTTCGGAACTCGACCCGGGGCCAATCTAGGAAATGAAGGCTTTAGACTTTCAAATGCGACTGTTCTGGGCGTGGTTCGCCCTGGAAAGATCGCCTTGGAAAGAGTTGGGGGCCTTGAATGTGGAAATGAAGCTGTCTGCGGTGGAGTCTTCGTCTTGTGCGGATGACGTCTGTTGAAAGTCCTACAGAAGTAGCACGAAAGTCACCAAGTTGTACAATTGCGTTGAGAATGCCGCTTATCCTTCGTGTGAAGGAGATGGTGCAGATGATGCCTAAATTCTGCGAGTTGACGACGGAGTTTGAGGGAGAGCAAGTGGCTTTTCTCGGAGCAGATGGCGGCATCTGGAAGTTGAGGGGGGGGGATGTCGCGACAGGGTCTAGCAGACTCCCCGCGAGTTTGACCAGGGTTGGTCTTCTCTGTTGCTCTCGGCTTCTATTCGTGTGCTCCTTCTCAGTCCTGCCAAGGCCTGGATTGCATCGCTTCGTTTTCGAGAGAGCAGTCGATGAGACGGGATACGATACGCTGTCGATAATTGTCGTTGAAGAAGTCAACCTAGAGGTTTCCCCTCCCATTTCAGCAAGTCTGTGTTCCTGCCGCTTTTACGAATACTATATCGTTCCTATTGTCGTGGTCTTGTTGCCTGTGTTGTGGATCACATATGCTATCATCGCTCATGTTGCCAGGTTTGCGGCGGACGGAGCGATCACGTATTTTTCGGTCGATTCATATACTTGGACCAGCGAAGGGATACGGCAGTCTCTGGGCATTGGGCTTATCTAAATCGTGTATGCAGCAACGGTGCCTTTGAAATTGCTCGATTCGCTTGGAATCTGTGTCTGTTTGAGGCGAATGATCCTTAGGATACACTGTCTTCTTCGATGTCAGCTTATTCACTGACACAAGAGCATGGCTGCCCACAAGTCAGGAAATATGACGCCGTGATTAAGTGTGTCTGCGGCTATTTATACCCTAGGTAGGATTTGAATAGCTGGCGGTGAGTGGTTGTTTGAGGAATCTCACGATCAAGATAATATCTCAACGAAGTCATTTGACGATGTGCTTTTGTCAGGCAAAGCAGGTCTAATTTGGCCAACGTTTGAAAGTAGCAAATGCGTTTCATTTCGAATCATAGAGAAGAGTAGACGGTAGCTAGATACATGGAAAAGATTGCAGCGTATGGTACAGCTATCGTATCCTCGTTGAAGACTTCATCGGTTGATTTCATGAGTTGGAATCAAGAATTCAACGACCGGTAGCGCTTAATCAAAATACGACAACGCGCTTCTGAGAGATAATGCAATTAGCCAACTCGGGTTTTACGTAGTTGACAACCATACCTTGGTGAACACACCTTGATGAAACCATGACTAGACAAAGATCTAGTACCGAGTATCTGGCAGGGCCTAAATGTTTGTAGGGCATGAATCATTGCTCGAATCGCAAATGAACATGCTGAGGATAAGAGAAAGACCGAGAACATCGCGGGACAAGAAGGCGCAAAGGACGCAGCAAGAATGGATTGCCTGCGATGTCTACATGCACCCACACAAGAGCATGATCTGAAGGGCGGTCGCGGTCGTTGAAAACCTGTGTTACGTCCGACAAGCATCTAAAAGCTAGCCATAAGGGTGATTTTGAAGAACGACATTCGAAATATCACCAAGATGTCAGTGTCGACGATGGCCAGGAAACACATGCAGCTGAACGGGAATACGGACATCTGCGTTGTGACGATGAGCAGAGGAAGCACACTTTGGAAACGGAGGGATTATTTTGAAGTCGGGACATCTTTGGCCCCATTTGACATTTTTGTCGGCAGCTCTATGCTACCAACCACACTCGGAGGGAGCCTCTCATCATAGAGATGTGACAGAAGAGAGGGCAAAAACCTGCGAGCCAAGCTTTTTGGTTTGCCATGACCGGTTGAGAAAATCCATTTGTTTGCAGCACTGGGAAAATAACAAAGCGCAAAACCCTTTAATTTCCCTCCGTGACCATGCAATGCATCATCGAGTAATTCGGGATCCCCGTGTGCCAAAAACGTGTTACGCCTCCGTTTCCATTTTCGTAGTTCCTCATCCCCAACCCTAGATACCCAGGAGCGGTTGGCTAATTTAAGCGGCCTGCATCACAGTCAGTTACGGTGTCCTTCGCGCGGGAGGAACCGAGGGTGAGGTGGGAGAGCGTAGGGGACAACTCGTGGCAAGAGCAGGACGGTCTGTCGGTGACATGATATCCCACTCATCAAAGCACCGTTCCACTGTCCCGTGTCGCTCTCCCGTCCTCATCCTCATGGCTGATATCGAATTCGACTGACCTTCACGGCGAACTTGCGTTGAGGGAAGTGGACGGTGCGCTTCTTGGCCTTCTCGGTGACGAGGGCAGCGTCGGCGGCGGACAACCGGCGGCGGATAGCACGGGTCTGCTTCGCGCGGAGGTCGAGGGGAGCGTACTTCTTGTTCTTGTAGAAGAGGCGGAGCTGAGCGCGTTGCTTGGCGTTGATGACGGTCAGGACGCGGGCGATCGACTTGCGGATGTCGTGGCTGTAAGAAAAATTTCACCGGTCAGCCCTTCTGCCTTCCTTCTTTCGCGGATCCTCCGAGGCCTCCTCCTCCTGTCTGTCTCTCCTCCCAGACTCTGCGCCGGACCTCGATCGGGGATTGGAGTGGTAAACGCACATCTTGTTCAGCTTGGAGCCAGAAGAGGCGATCTTCTGGATGCGGAGCTGACCGAGCTCGGTCTTGAGCTCTCCGAGTTGCTTCGTCAACTCATCCTTGTTCTTGTTCCAGAGCTGGCTGGCCTTGACCTTTCCGGACGACTGCGACAATGAAGACTCTCGTCAGCGAAAGTTCTCTGTGTATGTCCCCTTTGGGAGGGGCGTGATGTATGGTGTTTTTTGCGTTCGTCGGTCGGGGACGCGCGGGGGGTCGTGATTATTTCGGGATAAAAATATCGTGCTGCTCTGGAATCGCGCATTCCATCGTGATCAAGGGGTCAACTCACCATCTTGACTGATATGGGGGGTGGCGCTGGATATCTGGGTTAGTATCAACACGTCGTGAAGCGTCAGGTCAATTCACAGATTGCAAAAATTCGAGGTTCGGGAAAAGAATGCCCTAGGGTTATGGGAAGTGGTGGTGTGCAATCGAAATTTAGCGGGGATCGATTTGATTGGAGGTCGAGCTGGCTTTTCAGTGGGGCACAGAGTCGGCCCTGCGCCACGGTGCCTGTTCAGCCACAGAGACCCTCGGACCCCGGTGATGCGCTCACCGAGCTCACCGAGGATGGCCTGAACGATTCATGCGGCACCATCCGACACTTACATAATCATTCTAGGTGCACGGGCCATGTGACGCCGAGCTCCCTCCATGCATCTGGTCCCTGCCGACAGCGTCCCAGACGCGCGGACATGGCTGAGCCCATCTGAAGACGACTTCTCGAACACAGGCAGCGAAGCGGACGAGCGTACACCCACCACCGCATACAACATCGCAGCGCCATGGCTGCGGCTTCTGGAAACACGGGCTGGGCCCAGCTACGGCAACAAGCGCGAAGTCTCGAGACGCAGGTATGAACTTCCACTGCTCGCAGCAAGCATCCTCTCTCCGCCGGGTTTCCCTGACATCCGAGTCGCCGCGCAGACAGAGACCTTGTTCCACACATACTCCCAGTTCTCGACAGTATCAGATATACCAGCAAAACCGACAGAAGATGAAAGGACAACAGAAGCAAAGCTCCAGGATCTCCTCGAGAGAGTAAGACCGCCGCTTTCGTCCCCGCCAACCTCGGCTCAGCTAACACCACGACCATCAGCGCGAGAGCGTCATCTCCCAACTAGCCCGCCTCCTCGACTCCGAAGCGACCCTCACATCTTCCGCCTTGAAGCAGAACAACCTTGCCCTCCTCCGCGAGAAGCTTGCCGAACACAAGCGCGACCTTGTGCGCATCCGCAACACAATCGCCCAGGCCCGCGACCGCGCCCACCTTCTCTCCAATGTCCGCTCCGACATTGACGAGTACCGAGCCAACAACCCCGAAGCCGCTGAGGCCGAATATATGCTCGCCGAGCGCAACCGCATCGATAACAGTCACAACATGGCCGACAGCGTCCTCTCTCAGGCTTACGCCGTGCAGGACAACTTCAACATCCAGCGCGAGACGCTCGCTAGCATCAACCGTCGCATCACCATGGCCGCCAGCCAGGTCCCAGGGCTAAACAGCCTCATCGGCCGAATTTCCGCGAAGAAACGCCGGGACGGCATAATCATGGGCGTCTTCATCGCCTTCTGCTTCCTCGTCTTCTGGTGGTTCCTATAACGATCCTGCTATTGAAAAGAGAATGTGTGGTTTAACGTCCTCGTTATGTCTGTTTTTGTCACAACAAGCCGTTACGACTGGGTGGGATTACCGGCATAAGGATTGCGACGGCGTTCTGGGATTGCTTGATGTTGTCTTTGTCTGGAATTGAGGGTATCCTGTTGGTGCATATTGTACACTAGAAAAACACGGGGTATCTATAGGCAGCAGGCTATGACCTGACTGCCGTATACTATTGCTTGTGAAGCCCCTGAATAAACCGTTTCATGTTTTGAATCGTCATGTTGACTTATCATCCCCGAAAGCCTTCTGTGCTGTGCTGGCCTCTTTCGTCGCCTGCTCGGCCTTGTTCCACTCGTGGAGGACAAGCTTCATGCTCTTCACCAAGCTATCCCTCTCATCCGGCCGACTGGGACCGCTCGCCGCCCAACGTATCCTGCACAGGTTGTCTACGAGGTACACATAGCCGACCTTGCTATTCAGGTATCCAATCGACTCGCTGATCTCGGTCGTGATGGCGCGGGGAACCAAGAAGTACTTACCCCAGTCGCTCTCCGGCATCTGCTTGCGCAAGTTGCTCTGGAACAGCTTGACGATCCACGCCTTGAACTTATTGTCCTCGATGTTGAGCTGCGCAATCTGCGCCCTGCCATTGATCTTGGACACAAGCTCGTGCAAATCCGGGTTCGCCTCGGGGGAAATGAAGGTCTTGGTCTGGTCCTCGGCCCACTTGCTGCTGTACATGGCCACCACCGTCACCTTATTCAGCAGCGCCCGCGTCGTGTCCCGCGCTTGGCTATCCTTCTTCGCCAGGGTGTCGCCGACGAAGTTGGGGAAGAAGAGGGAGTGTTCGGCCTTGAAAGGCAATGGGGGCGCGAGGAAGGATTTGCCCTCGTGCCATTGCATGTTGCGCCAGTCGCGGAAGTAAGGGCGGGCCATTTTGTCCTTGCTGGAGGGTTACCATTAGCATGCTTTCCCCCATAGAAGAAGGCATTGCGACTTACAGCTCCTTCCTGCGAACGAGATGCTTGTCGTAGTCGACAAAGTCGTCTCTCCTCTGTTGCAACGACCTCCTGTCGACGCCCGAGTTGTCCTCTGGGTGTGGCGGGTACGCCATGCCAACGGGCCGCGGCAGGGGCTGCGGCGTAAAGTTGGTGACCTTCTTGCCGTACGCTCTCGGGGCATGGATAGCGGCCGCGGGGAGGTCGGGCTTTGCCGACTCCGCGGGTGCGACGGCCGATTCCGGGGCCGAGTCCGGGGCGGGCTTTTTTGCGGCGGCGAAGGGACGGGCTGGGGGCTTTGGGGCGCCGGCGAGCCAGGGACGGGTGGTGCTCAGGTGCCGCCTCGACGCGCAGACGGCGCAGGACAAGGCCTTCCTCGAGGGGCCCATGGACAGCGCCATGGTGCGGAACGGGGCGATTGGGGCCATTGCAGCGGTCTAGCTTGGCCGCGGGGGTGTGAGTATTGTGAGATTGTTCGGCTCTCAGCGGGAGAAGAAGTTCCTATGCAAAGCGCAGCAAGACGAGCAGGAGCAGGTCACTGAGGAAAAAAACCGAACAGTCGCGCCACAAGTGTTCCTGATGCCGCGTCGTTCCGTCTAGCTGCCGCCACAGTTCCAGCCACAGCTAGGTGCAAGATAAGAGATTGTGGGACACTGCGGGGAGAACCGACTGAGGGGATGCAGTTGGCCGGTGGGAGTAGACTGGGGTCTCGGGCCACCATGGTGCTTTGCTCCGAGGGGCCCATTGTGTCATGGGGGACTTGGACGGCCGAACACCGCGAATAGCCGAGTTTCTGGGGGAGAGCGCGGTGCCGAGCAGTTCCTCCTACAGCAGTGTGTTCGCACATTCCTAGGTCTGCTTTCGGTTTCCTCCCTCTTGCGTTTTCGAGAGGTGTTGAACGGGCAATTCTTCTCTTGCTTCTCGTCAGGGTCCGTAAACCGCTTCAAAATGTTTTGGCAACGAGGTTCGCACGTCGTGAGGACGCAATGGCACGTCTCCAAGAGCATGGCCCGTCTGGCGACGGCAAGGGCCGTTGGCGTCTACCCCTCGAGACGGTTTCACGACACAGCGCACCTGCGGGTGGTCAAACCTGTGTTGCTGGCGGATATCGGTGAAGGTATGAATGAAATCCCAATATTTCTGCCACGTTCGAAGACGGCATCATCTAACAATGGATCTCGGGGAAACAGGCATCGTGGAGTGCGAAATCATACAGTGGTTCGTCGAGCCCGGCGCCAGAGTCGAGGAGTTCTCTCCGCTGTGCGAGGTCCAGAGCGACAAGGCCTCGGTCGAAATCACCAGCCGCTTCTCGGGCGTCGTCAAGAAGCTGCACTACGACGCCGGCGACATGGCCAAGGTCGGCAAGCCCTTTGTCGACATTGACATACAAGGCGGGGCCAAGCAGGAGGACCTAGATGCGTTGACGGCACCGACTGGGCCTGCAGACACGTCTACACCCAGCGCATCCGAGACTCCAGCAGCAGCACAAAAGGACCAATCACAAAAAGCAAGAGAAAACACACAAGCCGAGGCGGCGCCAGCCCCAGCAGCAGCAGCCGAAGCTCCGAAACAGAAGGGCAAGCACGCGGCGCTGGCAACGCCGGCCGTCCGCCACCTCTCCAAGACATTAAACGTCGACATCGCCGAGATAGACGGCACAGGCAGGGACGGGAGGGTTCTGAAGGAAGACATCCAGAACTTTGTCAAGCGCCGCGAATCCGGGGACCCCGCGGCGACCCAGCAAGCGGCGGCCCCGCCGTCCGGCGCCGAACCCACTGGGCCCGCACCGTCCGCCGGACCCCAGGTCGAGACCCGCGTCCCGCTCACCGTCACCCAGCAGCAAATGTTCAAGTCCATGACACGCTCCCTCAACATCCCGCACTTCCTCTACGCCGACGAGGTGGACTTCTCCAGCCTCGTCCAGCTGCGCACCCGCTTGAACCGCGTCCTCACCTCCGCCCCGGAGCTCGGCGCCGACGGCGTCGCGAAGCTCTCCTACCTCCCCTTCATCATCAAGGCCGTCTCGCTGGCTCTCTATCAGTACCCGATCCTCAACGCTCGCGTAGATCTCGACGCCTCCACCCCGGCCTCCAAGCCCTCCCTCGTAATGCGCAGCCAGCACAACATTGGCGTGGCCATGGACACCCCCTCGGGCCTCCTCGTGCCCGTGATCCGCAACGTCGGCGCCCTCAACATCCTCTCCATCGCCAAGGAGCTCACGCGCCTGCAGAAGGCCGCCTTTGCAGGCAAGCTCACCCCGCAGGACCTCGGCGGCGGCACCATCACCGTGTCCAACATTGGCAACATTGGCGGGACGTACCTGTCGCCCGTGATCGTGGACAAGGAGGTCGCGATCCTCGGCATCGGCCGCATGCGCGCCGTGCCGGCGTTCGAGTCGGATGATTCGGACCGCGTGGTACGGAAGCACGTCACCAACTTCAGCTGGAGCGCGGACCATCGCGTCGTCGACGGCGCGACCATGGCGCGGGCCGCGGAGGTGGTGCGGAGGGTGGTGGAAGAGCCTGATGTCATGGTTATGCACCTCAGATGATGGAGAGAGAGATACGTTGGCGCAGAATGGGGTTGAAGAGGGGGCTGGCTGAGGGCTACGTGTTGCATTCTGGTATACCTGGGCGAATGGTAAGACTGGCACGACGACGGGGGGCGTCAATTGACCGCGTGACTACACCAGAACCGGGGTCCGGGGGATGTAGTATGGTGTGGTGCTGCGGGTTAAATCTGACAATTAGACGTTTAATGATTTGTAGATGGGAGGATGGGGGGGCCTACAGGCCCGCATGTCCTCCGTGAACTTAGCATCGGGACAAAAGGAAAAAAGAAGAAATCAAGGGTTCATCACCAAAAACAAGAGATCACCTGTGAGATGCTTGCTGCCCGACGCATGTCTGACAAGCGCCTTTAATGCCAGTTCATGTATGTATATGCTGTGATGATACCTTGCCCGGAGCCACTTCCCCCTCTCGGTGTGTCGCTGAAGATATGTGACGGCCCAGTGAGGGTGGACGAAACGCTCTCCACAACCTCACCGAGTTGACGACAGCCAATGCTGCAGAGTGCCCGAATGGCCAGTCATTGATGTTCCCTGTCTCCTCCAGGCTGCAGGCAGCTCGATCGGGGGGTTGGTGGCAAGTTGGGGGAACCAGATGCGAACAGGGTTCCCGCCGCATCTGAGGCAGCCAGCACATACATAGTCGCATTCCGTCATGTCATCAGATTCTGTATTTCCAACTAAAGGCTAAGCAAGTGATGAACAACCAAGAAACCTTTGGCCATCTCAACCAGTAGGCATCCACCATTTTAAGCCTTGCATGAAGATGCGTGCGCCAGCTCAACATGCTGTTGTCTCGGCCTCTCAGACGGCCGCGCCCCTTTGAACTTCCCTTCGTCTGGGAATTGCGCTTGTGATACCCAACCACAACTTAGCCGTCCTGAGCAGCGGCGCATCTCCCCCTGACCTTCCATCGCGTATGCAAACCGACTGTATCGCAGTCGGCGGTATTGTAGACCAGACCCCAATGCTAGCGCCGTGTTAAGTTCCCAAATCAAAGTCAACGCTCATTATTCTATGCCCTTTGAACTCCGTAATCCCGTAGGATATGAACCCAGCCAAATATGCGCCTTGCAGTCAGACGGAGGTCTCACTGCTCATCCTCCTTCTCCATCATCGCCTTGACGCGGGCCAGAGCATCGATCTCAACCTCTTCAATGCTGCGGCTGACGTCGACGCTGATGACGTCCGTCTCGTCGGCCATGGGAGGCTCGAGGGACTGGAACTGGCTGCGGACCATGTTGGCGCCCATGTAGTGGTTGGTGGCAGCGCTGCGGGCCGTCACACGCTGGACGAGGACTTCTTCGGGTGCGGAGAGGTAGATGAAGTGGATGAGGATCGTGCGGTCGTAGTATCCGGCTACGCGGATGACGTCTCTGTACTTGCGCTTCAGCGCAGAGCAGGTCAGGACGACTCCGTCAGAGCCCGCG